GGTAAGTGTTAGGTTCAGCCAGGCTGAGTGATGTCTCCTTCCAGAGTGAAGTGGGTAGGTTTCAGAGTCAACGAGATTAAAAACAAAAAGACAAATAGGTACAGAAGTTTGTAGTTGTAGCTGTATTACCAGAGTTAACCATTCTTAATTAGCTTGGGTATAATTTCACATTTTATAATAAACCTTAGTGTACCATTTTTTTCATTAAGACATATAAAAATTTAGATTTTGAAAAACAAGGTTGATTTTTTCACTATTGAAGGTACCAGCAAAAGATATCTATATATGTCATCATTTATTTTGTAAAATTAGGCACAATTTTATCTACAGATGTTCAATTAAGAATCCTACTCCCATGGCTAAACATTTCATGAAGTGATATTCCAGTAGCCTGAGAATTATCTGAATCGCTGGAGACAGATAAAGGAGAAGACTCCTTTAGGACCAGCACCAACGGATGCACTTCAATTTCCTTGCTAACTCACTTTACCAACCCTTCTCCCCTCCGACCTCCACTTGAGATTACATTTAGAGCATCATGTGCAATTTCCATTTGAAAACTTATAGGAAAGTAATCACTACAAAATTCACAACATATCACTGCTCAAGGTGGACTTAGATAATGATAATATCTAGGGATCCAAATCCCTGTACATTGTATTTGAGAACTAAGAGCCACAGTGAGCCAGGACTGCAATGAAGATGACCTGGTCCCAGTTCAAAGCTTTTTCACAGAATCCTTCACTCACCTGTTTTGGCCAGAGAAAATTTATTCTTTGTTTATAAAACTGAGTTGTCTCTCACTACCATTTATGCTGATTTCCGTTTGTTCTTCTGGTGGAGATGGTAAATGTTTGATAAGACCGTATCTCAAAATTTAAAAATATCTCTAACCAGAAAGCAATTTCTGCTGTTTCCTGAAAGACATGATATTCGGCAAGAACATGGTTCAGAGAGAAGAAAAGGGATGTGGGTAGATAATGTGACCTCCTAAAAACTGTAAGAAAACCTAGATGTTTAGAAATTATGGCACCCATACCCCTGTTTCTATAAATGTATTTCCCCAGTTTTGCTTCTATACTCTTTCTTTTCTGTTTTATCTAAAGACTAAAGAATCATTGTTAAGCTGACTTTAGATGATGTGACCAGGACACCAGTAGCATGATCTAAAATATGGTCCATTCTAGTCCCAGCCCCCCTGACTACCTCTATGAATTTGTCAGTGAAGTAACCACTCTCTCTTAGTTTTCTCCAATCTATAAGCAAATTAAATGCTACTGACTCCCACTGGAAAATAATATGAACATATGGGAGATACCTGATGAAAAGCCCATTGGAAAATGTTGTGACTTCAATCTATAAGATTGTCTTGGGGTTTTAGATACTCTGAAGAAGGACTTTCAGAGGAATCAGGACAGTCGATCTACAATGGTGAGTATAGGCTCTGTTCTTCTGTTCTTCTACTTGGAGAATGACACAGAGGTGTGTTTGTGTGTGTGTGTGTGTGTGTGTGTGTGTGTATACATAAGAGTGCTTGAGTGTTTTTAAACTGTCTACAAAACACCCTTTAGTGGTCACAAGGCTGTCCAGAAAATCCAGAAAATAGTGCTGGCTCAGAGCCCACAAATATTCTAAGCTTATCATCTGCTAGTGGTTGCTCAGCTATTATAGCAACCACTGCTATGGGAACAGAACTTTAAAACATGTGTGTGTTTATATGTGTGTGAGTACACACCCCCATGTGTTTACTATTTGGCAGGGGGTTGTATACATGGCTCTGTGACATGGGGGAAGGTTAGCTATAGGTGAGTGTAATGTATGTGTGATTCCTAAAACATAAACCTGATTTCTGAGGCAGTACATGTGTAGTTGGGGGTAGTCTTGCAAACATGGATATCTAGTATGATTGTGTGGTTGTTCAGGGGCATGTGTAGATGTTTATGTGTTTGGGGGGGAGTACATATGTATATGTTCCAGTCTGATTTTCCGTGACCTTCACCTGGTTGTTTGACAGAGTGCTCCAGCCATGGGGCCAGCTTTGAAGACGACTTGACCCTCGGAGCAGAGGGTGAGTGGCACAGTTCTCTGAGGTTGGGCTGCAGGAAGAGGATATACATTTGACAAATTAAGGATAGGATGGAAGAGGAAAACTTCAGAAAGAAACAGCCCATCCCTGGGATCTTATCTATAGGAAAAGACCAGTCTCATTATGATCTAATGTAAAACACAGAAAGCATCACATGCCCAGAAACACTTTCTCAACAACCTATGGTGACTTCTACTAATCTACCACCAGAATTTTCCTTTAGCCCCTGGGAAGGTGGTAACATACAAAATCACCATAACATTTGTTGCCCAGACACCTTTGAGACTGTTTTCTGTATAGAAAGCCCAAAGAAGTCTGAGTACTGGGCGTAGGAGAGAGACCTCACTGCAGGAGGATAAGGGCTTCAATAAACGGTGGAGGCACAGCAACCTACCAGTGTCTCCCGGGCCTGCAAAGACTGTGGTGTGGCAGGAGCACAGGCCCAAAGGGCTGGATGGCTCACCCTCCTCGGGACAGAGGGGCTCTTGCCTAGACACCAGTCATGAGTCAAAAGTTCAGAGGCACAGGCCAGTTGTTCTCTGCCATATCTCTCCCTATTCCAGGGCTATGCTTGGTAATCTCGAGAGCCCATTTAAGAGCAGAATTCATGGAGTTCAGCTAGCCTGTGGCAGAGGGAAATGGAGGAGGCTGAGTTTTAAGTTCAGACGAGCAACTCCAGTGATTTTCATTTTCTCTTTTAACTTGTTCTTTGTCTTTATATTCCCTGTCCAGCTACACTGTTGGCCGCCAATGGCAAACTCTTCTCCAGGTAAGTGTTAGGTTCAGCCAGGCTGAGTGATGTCTCCTTCCAGAGTGAAGTGGGTAGGTTTCAGAGTCAACGAGATTAAAAACAAAAAGACAAAGATTCCCAATAGAGAGTGAGATTTTCCAACCAGCAATGAGGGTACAGACTGTGTTTCCTCTGTAGGTGGTTCAAAGGTACTAGCAGAGGGTGAATATGCCCGGCAGGGATGCCTTGAAGCCAGGGTGCAGACTGGGAAATGATTTGTATGACACCTGCTTTGATCTCTACAGGAGTTTCCTCGACACAGGCAGGCCTTGCCAGCTACTTGATCTTGGCTGTAGTTTGGCTTCCAGCAGCATGACTGGGGGAACCAACAAGACTAGTTCGAGGTAGGTACTCATTTCTGCAGGGTGGGAGGGTGAGGAAGATGAGAGGCAACGGAGAAAGGAACCAATAGTGCACTGACAGAGGAGAATGGAACTGCTAGTGTACCTCTCAAAACCAGATTTTGAATGTGCTTATTGACTCATTTTTACCTTCAGGGTGAGAATAAAAATTTTTACCTTCAGGGTTCTATGTTCCTTCCACACTTACGGCTTAGTTGTCCCACTCAAGCACAAGTCAGTTGGCAAGTTGCAAAGCACCTGGCCAAAGACAGATATATCATAGCAAATGCAAGTGGAAACTGAGTAGTTAATAACACAACCACAAAATTTATTTGCATTTATACTGCTTTTCACTTTTCAAAACTCTTTCATATTTACTTCAGTTTTTATTCATCTGCAATAAGTAATTCAAAATACTGTGCTACAATTTTATTCAGTTTTTATAACTAGGGCTATAATTCCCATATTTTAGACATAGAATTTAGGTTCAGAGAAGGGACAGTTTTTCTCAAAAGCTTTTCACAGTGCAAGGTAGAGAAATGGCCAGAAAGGAATTTCGATCTCTTGACAGTTTTAGTTCTGCATTAACATATGTCTCAACACTGTCACCTGTTTATGGAAACTCACTCTTTTCAGCATCTCAGAGATTCTGGACAAGGTACAAGAAGACGCAGAAGATGTCCTCTTCAGTCTGGGCTTTGGCCAAGAAGACCTCAAAGACACTTCCCGGATCCCTGCCCGATTCTTCACCACTCCCTCTCAGGCCAAGGGCATTGACTTTCAGCTCTTCCTGAAGGCTCAGGTGCGGAGGATCGAGATGGAGGACCCCTGCCTCATGCTGGCCAGTGAGTGTGACCACAGACACCCGCTCTTCTTCTCCGGAGCATCACAGCAGGGTTCAGCGGCTTCACATCCCACTTTCTCTCATTTAGCGTCACTTCGCCCTTTTCTCTTGTGTCCATTTCCTCTTATGTTGTCTTCAGTGATGATGGAGAATGCTGATGTTGCCTCTTTCTCTTAAAGAAACAGTCTTCAAGAGACCTCAGACCTATTGCTTCCTTCAGGTCTTCTCCCCTTTAGCTGAATCAAATCAGAACAATGTCTTTAAATCTTATACCTGTTGTCTATTTCCAAGTTGGAATATCTACTTGGGATGGGGAGTCAAGAAGTCAAGAAAGTCAAGAAAGGGGTCCCTGGGTGTTAGAAATCTAAATGGGAGAAACACTAGTAGGGAAATTGTCAACTTCTCTCTGAATTTTGAGCTTTGGGGAGGATTTTGAAGGGAGAGATCTAAAAGACAATTTGCTAATGAGCCCCAAACTCACCATCTTCAACCTTTGTACCCAGGCAGGTTTAAGCAGGTACAGACACTGGCTGTCACTGCTGATGCCTTCTTCTGTCTCTACTCCTATGTGTCTAAGACACCTGTCCAAAAGTTCACACCATCCCACATGTTCTGGAATTACAACCCAACTGATGTGCCATCCATCAGGATTCTGGCCCCAGAGCCTGAACCCCACTCACCCAGAGAGCGTCTCCGGAAAGCCATCTCCAAGATGTGCCTGTACACATGCCCCCGAAGTCGGCTATCACCACCCTACAACACTCCCAAAAGGAACAGTTTGGACCAAGTGGTGTGGGAAGTAATGGACAGAGTGAGAGGTGAAAAGCTCATCCTCCAGCAAGACTCTGAGTTTGAGCAAAGCCAACAGGAAGATCCTATGCTCCCTATTGGGGGTACAAATCTGCCCACTTCTCCCTGTCCATGTTTCCTCTGCTCTAAAGAGGAAACACAGCAGGGGATGTCCACAGTGCTACCATCATCACAAACTCCGAATTCTAATTCCAAGATACCCCATTACATACATTCTCTGCCCAGAGCAGATCCACAGTGGAGCACAGGCTCTGCACAGGTAAGAAGAGAGCTGTGGAGTCTACAGGCCACCAATAAGGAAGCCCATTCAGCCAAGGATGAGACTTTCTGGAAAAGAAAGAGCAGAGCAAGAAAGAGCCTGTTTCAGAAGAATCCCATGGGCAGGAAGGTTAAGTCATTGGACCTGTCCATCATCCAGCAGAAGTGGAAGCAGAGCATAGACAGACCAGAACTGCATCGATCTTTAACCCAGCAGCTGCAGGACACTGTTGACTTGGAGGAGGTGAGTGGGTTTGAAGTGATGGAAAGGCTGGCAGAGAAAAGCTATAGATTCTCTCCCAGATGGCGAAAAGTTAGGACCATTGGGCAAAGGAAATCCGGACTACCTGCCCTCACCAGATACATCACTTTTTGAAATAAATTCAGAAACTTTTGGTAGTGGATTAATATAGAGGCAGAAAGAGAAATGCTCTTAGTTCCTTAAAAGCAGCCAAGTTTTCAGAGCTGCTTTTGTAGTACTTACCTGATCTGATCCCCATCGAAGGTTCTCATTAAGCACATCAGCCCTTACTTTTTGCAGGGGTCCTCAAAAGAGTACAAATGGAGGTCAGTTTTACACAAAGCTAAATGCTGTTAAATAAAACATTTTCTCCAACTCTTGACAAACATGTAATCATAAAGACCTAGAAGTGCAGGGTCCACCTAGAATTCTCAGACGCTTAGGACTTCTGTGGTAGAACATGGCAGTGTGGGCAGAGCCACTCCCCAGCTCTGGGCAAGAATCTATAGCTTTTCTCTGTCCCCTTCTCTTCCCATGACCAGATCTGTCCTATGCCATAAGGGATCTTGCACACCCATGTGTGGGCACCCCAGCCTGCATATCCAAATGCCACAAGCTCCTACCCACACAGACAGCCATCCATTGGTCACCATTCAGGCCCAGAGCTGCATATGCTAGTGGAGAGCTCAGCCCTCAACAGAACAGGCATCAGGCGAAACCAATGCAAGTTCCTGCAACAGGCTTGGCGCCATTTGACCAGCAGATTTTGTGATTCTGGGTAACAGAGCATATTCTAGAAGGGATATTGCAGGGCCCAGGTGGGCACATCCTCTGAGTCCACCAACTCTTTACTGTGTGGATCCTCAGGACTCCTCTTGCCTGGGTCTATGGAAGGTACTGCTGTCAAGTGTTGGGATCTCTTGAAAAAGCTTTCAAATCCTTGCCACAAGGAGATGTAATTATTTGCAATATCACTGGCATCATGTGTCACCTGTCATTGAATGTAGAGCTGCACATCAGCTTCTGCCTTTCTTGCTATTGGGTCCCTGACACAGCAGAAGAGGCCAAGTCTCCCAAGTACACTCAGCCTCCTTCTCCTACAGCTACCTGCCACCACACATCTTTCCTGGCCCTCTGCCCCATTGGCCGTGACTGAGTTCTGTGGGATCTTGTTTATAGGTGCAAAGCAACAGTGAAGAGGAGCAGAGCATCTGGCCCAGCAGACCCAGACACCCCTATTGCTACCAGTCATTTGCTAGCCAAGATTCATGAAGTAAGTGTGCCTGTCTCTCAGATAGTGGTTCTCAAATCTGGGTGCACATTATAATTACCTGGGGAGATTTTTTAAAAAAATACCCATGATAAAGGGTCCCATATCCTATGATTCTGATTTATTTGGTATGGCATGATAACCAGTGACTGATTTTTTTAAGCTCCCCAGGTGATTCTATTATGGCTGGGAAATACTTCTCTAGACCAATGGTGCTCAGACATGCATCACAATCATGGAAGGCTTGTTAAAATAAAATGACTCCCAGGGTTTCTGATCGAGTAGGTCTGGATAAGGCCCAAGAATTTGCATTTCTAACAAGTTCCCAGGTGATGCTGATGCTGCCAGTCTGGTGATCACGGTCTGAGAACTGCTGTTATAGGATAAATTCTGCAGAATCCTAATATTCAAAGTGTAGTCTAGACCAGAAGCATTAGCCTCACATGGATTTTGTTAGAAATGCACTCTCAGAGGAGGGAGGCAAGAAGATTGACTAGAGACACTGGTCACCAGATTGTCTCAGAAAGAAGAAAAAGTTTTAGTTGAAGAAAAACATAGCTCAGGTGTAACTCTGAGGGAAAAGTGCCAAAACCATGTATACGGTGTGACTGTCACATTCAAAATGACTGAGCGAGTAGAGCAACAAATCTGCATCAAATTTTGCTTTAAGATTAAACATTCCTCTGCAGAAACTATTCAGATGATTTGGAAGTCTTTGGGTGATGATGCAATGAGTGCAGCACAAATAAAAGTGTGGCACAAATCCTTCAAAGGTGGTCAAGAATCTATTGGAAGTGATCCATGTTCTGGAAGGCCTGCAATAAGCAGAACACCTGAGATTGTTGAATGTATATGGGTTAGGTTAAGAGATGCTGGGAGAACTGTGTGAAATCCCAAGGTGTCTACTTCGAAGGGGACTGAGGCATCTTTGTCCTATGCACAATGTTTCTTGTATCTTCTTCAACAAATGTCTCTATTTTTCATATTACATGGCTGGATACTTTCCAGACAGATCTCATATATTTGCATATACATGTATATGAGCTATACATTTACATAAAGTTTCAACACCTTATATGTATGTAAAGGTAATGTAACATATTAAAACAACAATAATGATGTTGCTGGTTCTACCGAATTTTAGTAAAAGTAATCATGGGCATTAAATATTAGGTTAGTATTAAAAAAGCAATCCTGTGAGCTTTTTAAAAACAACTATTTCCTGGAATTCACCCAATAGAATTAAATACAAATCTCAGAGGTAGAGACCTGGCATTGGTGTTTGTTCTTCTTTTAAAGCTTTCCTAATGTATTAGTTACCTGTTGCAGCATAACAACCACCCAAAATGTAGAAGCTCAAAGGGATTATTTATTGTTTCTCATTGTTCTCTGGGTTGACTGGTGGAATCTATTGCTTGACTCACCTGTGTTCACGTACGCTGCTGCATTTGGCTGGTGGCTGGTTTGGAAGGTCAAAAGTAGGCTCGTCCAACATTTCTGTGATCTTGGAGCTGAAAGTCAGCTGGGTTCTCTCCCTACTGGATACGTCATTCTTTAATATCTAGTCTTTCTTACATGGAAATTTAGCAAAAACCAAAGTTTAAATGCCTCTTTTTAAGGATATACTGGAAATTGCACAACCTTCTCTCTGCTGCACAGTATTCGTCAAAGCATGTCATAGAGCCAACCTAGATTTAAAGGGAAGGAAAACCGACTCTCCTTTTTAATGATGTGGCAAAAAGTTACATTGTAAAAGGTCATGTAGGGTGAGAGGGCTACTGTGGCCATCTTTACAGACAGTCTCTCAGAGACAATGACTCTGGTGCCACTGTGAGGGTTAAGAACAACCAGTTTAATTAAAGGGCTTTATTCTTCACATTTTTAAAGACTTAGTGCAAGTAAGCTCTCATTCTAAAGCTCACTCAAACTCAGCTGTGGAATTCAAAATTTGAAAAGGAAATTCACTTCTAGATTTATCAAATTCAAATAGAAAAGGTGAGGTATATATTTCACAGCTAGATTTCCTTGCCAAAAATTGAATTTACTCTAAAATGCAAAGTTTTGCTTAAGGTTTGTCTGTCCAGCAGATGTCAGCCTTGCACAAGAAAATGTTAAGCTGTCCGGCAGCTCGGGCCGTGTGCAGAGGTCTATATGGTTATGCTTTTCTAGGCAATCTATGCAATGCCCAGCACACCGATTTTTCTCGGTGCCAATTTTTAAAAGTTGTGCCAACTTTTACTAAAGGTTAGTATTTAAAAATATTAGAATTGAATGGCTAGGGAAAAAGTATTGTTCAGAGTTATACATTTCAGGTACGTACCTAGATCCCATTTTCTGCCAATGATGGCATTGCAATAGGAGAGATTATGGTCAGAAATGCTGAATTTTATTGGTGCTAAGACACACATTTTGCCACATTTTAACATGTCTTAAAATTGGTGATGTCAACCAGTTAGTTGTCCTTTTTTTTTTTGTCTCCTTAAGTGTAATGTAAAATAATTAAAAATAATTATGAGCCTTACAAAAGATGGTTTACCAAATTCAATAAAATACCATAACTTCAAGAATTAAATGCACATAGTCTTTCAGGTAAATCAAGAAAAGATTTTGTTGATTTTCTTTCCATAATTACCTTGAAGAATAGATCTCTTGTTTGCTGACACAGTCTTTAGCTAAGGCAAGAGGTCACAGTGATTAATTCTTTACAAAGGTCTATGCATTTGTTTAATCATCTTTTTGCAAAGCTATAACCAACTCCTCTGTCAATTCACTTGTTTCAACCCACTCCTCTATCATCCTTTAAGAGATCACAGGAAGGGGAGATAGCTATGAAAACAGCTCAGTACTGCCAATATTAAAGCCTGTGTCATGAATCTGGAAGGGGGAAATTCATTTTTTTTTACTTTTTTAATTATTTTATTATTTTTTTTTTATTTCAGCATATTATGGGGATACAAATATTTAGGTTATGTATATTGCCTTTGCCCCACCCAAGTCAGAGCTTCAAGCGTTTCCATCCCCCATTAGGTGTGCACCGCACCCATTAGGTGTGAATGTACCCATCCCCTCCTCCCCCCTCCCATCTGCCCGACCCCGATAAACATTACTACTATATGTGTACATAAGTGTTGGTCAGTTGATACCAATTTGATGGTGAGTACATGTGGTGGTTGTTTTTCCATTCTTGGGATACTTCACTTAGCAGAATGGGCTCCAGCTCTATCCAGGATAATTTAAGAGGTGCTAAATCACGATTGTTTTTCGCAGCTGAGTAGAACTCCATGGTATACATATACCACATTTTATTAATCCACTCATGTATTGATGGACACTTGGGTTGTTTCCACATCTTTGCAATTGTGAATTGTGCTGCTGTAAACATTCCAGTGCAGATGTCTTTTTTATAGATTGTCTTTTGTTCCTGTGGGTAGATGCCCAGTGATGGGACTGCTGGATCAAATGGTAGTTCTACCTGTAGCTCTTTGAGGTATCTCCATATTACTTTCCACAGAGGTCGTACTAGTTTGCAGTCCCACCAGCAGTGTAGGAGTGTTTCTCTCTCTCCACATCCATGCCAACATTTATTATTTTGGGACTTTTTGATAAAGGCCATTATTTCTGGAATTTTTCATTTAATATTTTCAGATATTTTCATCTAATACTTTCATTTAATATTTTCATGGTTGATCACAGGTAACTGAAACCGTGACAAGCAAAACCACAGATAGGGAGCACTACTGTCTCTTCTTTTCTCTTCCTCGGCCTTCCCTTTATCTGTACTGTCTTGTTCTTTTGGCTGTGGGAGGCAGAAAGACAAGCTATATGCATTGCATAATGCTCATTTTCTGACCAGTAGTTCAAGTGGATCACCAAGATATTTTCAAGGCTATCAAGCCACACAGCTTCAGGTATCAGCACTCACGTAGAAATGTAAGTATTGCTTCTGGAGATGTGCAGAGCAGAGGCCCTGGCTCCATCCACACGACCTTACACAGCCCTCCTGGTACAAAGAGCTTCTAGCCATTATACTTTATAGCACCTTCAGAAATATTATCTGGTATGTCTTATAATCATATAGAGGGATAAATCCATTTTATACTCAAAAAGACTCAGAGAAGGAAAATAATTTAACAGGATCATGCAACTAGTTAGTGAGTATCAGAGCCAGAACTAGAACCCAGGTCTCCTGACTTCCACATCAATTCTCTTTCCATGAGAGCCCATAGCCCCAGTTGAGCAGGAGTTCAGGCTGTTACTGTGGATCGGAGCAAGCCTCACTACCTGTACTTGAATCTGACCTTCATTAACTGGGTGCTCTGGCCCTTTGAGCTAAGTAGCAATGGCCCCACTACCTTTGTCACCACTGGATTTTGCTTGCCTTCTTATAAACTCACCAGCAAGAGGAGCGTTACATGGATTAAACAGGAATGTTCACAGGAGACTTTGAGCTCATAGTTTAGCGTAAGACATTACAGGAAAATCAACAACTGCTTTTTATTAAATGCCATGGAGACACAGAGAAATTAATTTCCCAGATGATGATTTTTTTTTTTATAAAAAAAGATATGTGTTGGTAAGGAGATGGAGAAGATGAGTCTGGACAGATGAGTAAAGGTTGAACAGAGGAAGGGTGATTGGGGGAGTAGAAAAAGAAGAAGCAGAATATTCATATTCCGGGCAGAGAGAAATGAAATATCATAATATCTTCAGAAACTACACTTGTGCCTAGTGGGAGAAAGCAAATATGTGGGAGAAAGATCAAAAGTGAGAATAAGAAAGATAGATAGAAATCAGATTATGAAGTAAAATCTTTTATGTTATTTCAAGTGTTTTGATTTAGTCTAAAAAGATAGGAAGCCATTGAAAAATTTGCAAAGGAAGTGTTATGATTAGATTTGTCTTTTAGAAAGATCATTCTGGCAGAGGTGTGGCAAATAGGTTGAATATAGGGCCGGTGAAGTAAGGAAAATAGGAAACTACCACAGAAATCCAAGGAGAAATGGAGAAATGTGATGGTCAGAAATAAGATGAGAGCACTGGGAATGGAGGGGAGGAAAGTGGGATTTTGAGATATATTTAGGAGGTAAAATGGTTAAGCTTAGGACCAATTAGACTTGTGTTTGGGGGAGAAAAAGGGGATGAGGAAAAGAAACAGAGCAACTTCCAGGTTTTTTCTTGGGCAACTAAGTGGATATTAATGTCCTTTTATTAAGAATGAAGTACAGTAGGAGTAACAAGTTGGAAAGGAAATATTTAAAGTATAATTTTCAGAAAGGCAAGATAAAGACTCTCATGCAAACAGAAGATAAACATATTTAAAGATTTTATTTAACTCATTAATTAATAAAGGTACCAGCAATATGTTCAAACTGGTCCAAAGAGTATTTGAGAAGCTAGTTTATATACATAGACAACTTAATAGATTGCCAAGTTAGATACAAAACTGGTTAATTCAATGACATCGTAAACTATCTCTGTGATTATTGGTTCCACTGGACAGAAATTATTTGCATCATTACCCAACATAAACCTCTGCCCCTGCGGAGTTGTAAAATTGCCCTGTAAATGGAAAGTCAAGACTAACACTGTACTGAA